TCCACCGTACTCACCTGATTTGGCCCCCAGTGACTTCCACCTTTTTCCAAACCTAAAAAAATTCTTGGCTGGAAAGAGATTCCACTCAAATGACGAAGTCATCTCTGAAGTGAACGAGTATTTTGCACACCTTGACAAATCGACCTATTGTGATGGCATAAAAAAGCTAGAACATCGCTGGAATAAGTGTATTGCTAACAAAGGAGTCTACATTAAAAAATAAAAAAGTTTTAACATTATTTTGTTTGTTGTTCTATTTGAGGCCGCGAACTTTCCGAACAGCCCTCGTAGTATGGTTGTTTTAATTTTTTCTCATCAATTATATTATTACACTTTGTTGATTTGAGTCTGACAGTAGCAAATGAGACATTGGAATTAGTTAGACTGCAAATATAAAAGATATTGCAGTCTTATTTTAATTATTATATGGATAAATGTTTTAAGTAGTCTATTTTTTCTTGTGTAAAGAAGTGCTATTTTCTTTTAAAATATAATGTCTTAAATATCTGTGTTTGTATTACTTGCAAATTTTTACCAAAGTTGCAGTTATGTTTATACAATTAATTCCCTCACTTCAGTATAAAAGCATAAAAAAAATTAGATGACAAAAATTTCCATTCTATTTTTATTCAATTCTATTCTTTGTCATTTCACATACAAGTTCTATTGTTAATAATACATTCTATAAACTAACTCTCAATAAAAACATTTAGTGCAAAAAATTTAATTCAAGTAGCTACAGGAGTCTTCAACAATATTCTAACACTCATAAGCATTTCTATAATAAAACCATTATTCAAATTTTTTCTAAGTACTGCAGGGGAGAGTCATAGTACTGACCATTACTAGTTTTCACTACCAGAGTTAGGTAGCAGCATTCTACAGACATGCAGAATATCATTATAGGTCATACTTTGGGGACTATTTTGTTTGGTTAGGGTTGTGGAAATGAGCCCAAAAGTACTCGTTGGTATTTAGCACATCAAAAATTATTTTTGTGGCTCTGATTCTACTTCAGGAATAAGTAGCAGTTAATTTCATTAAAAAAATTTTTTTATATAGTAATATTATGATCAAATATAATTTCACGATATAAACTCTACACAACATACAATCTCCAAAATATTACCATGTGGCACTCATCTGGTACCAAATAAAAATAATTTTTAAAGAGAAGGTTTCACGTTTCTTTCTCAATTTAGAGAGAAATAGCAGAAAGCAAATTAAAGAAGAAAGTAAAATGGACCAAAGCTAGCACGAAAACAGAAACAAACAACGTTCCAGCAAACAACTTCGACATCATCGGTTCCAAAAACATTAGCAAATTGATTGAGAGCAAACCAAAGTCGGCAAAAATACGAGCACATTCCCCAGATGGGTAAACTCCAAAGACCTTCGACAAAGAAACGGAAAAACAACTAGTTTTTTTGTATACAAAATCCAAACGAAAAGTTCATTCGAAAAGACCAGATACAGCACATTGCAAGCAAGGGTCGGGCATGCAATGTGCCAACCGAGAAAATATTTATTTTATCCGCAACACTCATAAGCAGCAAACTTCATGGTAAAGTTTCAAAGATTCGTTCCTACATTTTCCTAGTATTCAATTTTCAAATAAATATTATTGGTTATAGTATTGATACAATAGTACACTATTTTACTACTGTTAGAGAATTTTATTTTTTCAAATGAAAATCACAATTTATCATAAAGATCAACACCCTCTAAAACAGTAACTGGTTGGTACTGACCTTATTATTTGTACTACCAAATTGACTTTATATTAGAAATAATCAGTACTTTAGGCAAAATCTTAGAGAAATCTTATCCTGTTCTTTACAAAGCACTATTTGAGGCATATATTACTTTTTCCCCAAGACATATTTATATTTAAGGAAATCCTCTGAGGAATAACTGTGCATGCCTGACTTTGAGGAATTCCTGCTAGTGTGTGGAGGCAAATGGTACAGGCCAACAGAGTAGAAACAAAAAACCATTTGATTTTCCTGCACAGTTTTGGACTGCGCAGGCCAACCATAATGTGTGTGCCATTGTGACATTCAGTTGTGAAGCCTCTAGTAGTGAGAACAATGTCTTGTGAATGTTTGGAAGAATTCTTTTCTATAACCTTATTAACTTTCATTATTTATAATCTAAAAAAATTAATTTTTCAGGTTATGAATAATAAAAGTTAATAAGGTTATAGAAAATAATTCTTCCAAACATTCACGAGACATTGCAGTGACAGACACGCAGTCTGAGACTGCGCCAGGAAAATCAAATGGTTTTTCTACTCTACTCTGGTGGTCGGTACAGTCCGCCAAAACTGTTAAATTTCCCCCCACACACTACCAGGAATTACTTAAGGTCAGGCATGCATGGTCAATCCTTTGAGGATTAACTTAACGTGTATAGCTGTTTTTAGGACCAGGTGTTGTCCACGGAAATTTCCAAAATTTACAACTTTTTGGTCACTCTCTTGAACTGGAAAAATTTCTGTCTTTATTACATCTAATACAGTATTTCGAAGAAATCAGTTCNGAATTATTCGTAAGATAGAATATTGCAAAAGAAGAATGGTTTTTTAAATATTTGTGGTAATAACAATTCTTTTTAATATTATCCGATCTCGGACACCCAAGAAGTTCGATATCTAAATAACTGTAGCTCTAGTTTTAAAAAAAAAAAATTTGTTTTCTATCTATCCACCATTAAATAAAAATAATTCTTTGTACCTTGAGAAATAATTTAATAATTTTTTAAAATTACTATGTTCGATCTAGCCAGTTATATCCAATAGTTTTTCCTCTATAAATTTAATCCATGAATTCTTTTTGGTAGTAAAATCGACTTGCCATTGATCTTTCGCTGATAATTGATGCTTTTTAACAGAATATATATCCCAAGATTTCTCTTGAAAAATTAATTTTGTGATCTGAAATAATTCCACAAAAAATGATTCGTTTGATAAATTAATTTTGTGATCAGTGCTACCCAAAGCACTAATACTATTATTTACACCATAGGGTCAATATTTACCTAGGTAGTCCAAGATGGCTGCACTTCTGGAATCACGTTCTAACCTAACCTAACCTATTCTAATAAATTAACAAAATTACTAATGTAAGATGTAAAATAACTCAAAAAATTAATTATATGAAGAAAGGAAAATTTTGTTAATTTATTAGAATAGGTTAGGTTAGAACGTGATTCCAGAAGTGCAGCCATCTTGGACTACCTAGGTAAACATTAACCCACCATAGACTTCTATGCACACTTTTTTCCCGCCAGTTTTCATACAATTTATTTCCAATAAACATCCAAGAACAGCCAGTACGTCGTCATCAGATGCACGGCGGACTGACTTAACAGAGATTTTCCTCGTGTGTGGGCGATAGGAAATTCTGAATTTCCTCAAATTCAGGCATGCACGGTTATTCTCCAAAGATTTCCTTAACGCGTGTGGCTACTTTAACAACAGTTAAGGCCAAAAATAATAAGGTGGTCGGTACTACACGATTCTCCCCTAAAGTTATTTAATTAGTAATAAATGGTTAAAACTAGAAATTATTTCGTCAATATGATATTTGCTATAGCTTTACACTTTTGTATTTTTCCCTTTTCATACCTTTTATCGTACGTCCGACTATACAATTTCTTCTTTTCCTTTTCTCATGTAAAAGCTGGTGCAGAAAACGAAACTTGCTATCGTAGCAGGTAAATATCACAACACATACTCTCGTCCTGTCTTCTAATTTGGCGCGAGTTGCTAGGCGCCCCGTAGTGGTGTGCGTCGGAAATACTATTTGGTGTTTTTAGTAGTTGTAGGTTTTTTTTTATATTCATTAAAGAATATCGTCAGAATTTGTATGCATACGTCGGATTTAATCGGATTTAATTTTATGTTTTATGCATTCGTTGATTTTGTGGAGACGATTTTTTGTTAGGTTATTTTTGATGAGGATTTTTTTCCCTAATTCTGACGAATTTCCAACACTTATGGAGGCGGTGTCTGTTTTATTTGACAGTATTTGTATGGATCGGTGGTGCCGATTTTGCGGGTGTAAAGAAATCGGTTGGTTAGCAGTGAATTGATTCTTGCGCCATTGATGAGGACGTTGGTGCGGCCATCTGTAATTTCGGGTATGGTGATATCCGATACGCGGGGCCGGCGCGTTTCGGCAGAAATTGCCGCCCGAGGGCAGCGAAATTTATGCCGCCCTTGGTAAAAATTTCAGGCAGGAGTTGCTTAATTTTTCCGGCGAGATTTGAAATTGCGTATGTGGAGCAATCTCTTATTATATTTTATTAAATTTTTTTATTATTTTAATGGCAAAAAGCTTAATTACGAGGGTAGGGACGGGTTTTATAAAAAGATTGTAAGGCCGAGACTCCACTAGCCTAAAACGGGCGTAAAAACCTTCGCCGTAAAAACTTTTAATCACGCGACAATGATTATTTTACGCCAAAGCAGGTCATAAATCTAGTTTAAAAGCGAGTTGAGCAATGTTCCACTTTCGACGCGAATACGGCCGTAAAACGGTACCATCCATCAATCAGAAGTCAGTGAAATCTAGGTCATTGTGAAATGGTGCGAAAATGGCGGAAAACGAGCTTTTGTGTATGTTCCCTCGTGGCTACTCTAGATCTGGAAAGATTTATCGAAAATATCCAAAAGTATTCATGTATCTACGACAAGAGGTATCCCATTATAATGATAATGGATGCCTAAAACACGATATGAACGGCCAAAGGAAAATCCTTCAATTTAGAGGAGTATATAATAAAAAAGCTAAGCTTATAAGTGCTGTATTTTATCTTAATAATACAATAATAAAAGTTAATATATACATTTGTAATTATAGTACAGAAAAGATTTATAGAATATAATCATTGTCTTTCGATAGTACCGTCGCCGTAAAAACTTCGCTAGCCGGACTTCCACCGCAATCCAGACGCAAACGCAAATAGGTCACGTGATTAAAAGTTTTTACGCCCGTTTTTACGCTAGTGGAGTCTTGGCCTAACGCTCCTTCTTGCGCGATTGTTCCGTAAATTACCGAATATGTGCTTTTCTTCTATCTCGAAGAGGACGCAGCCCTCCGAGGAAGCGTTGGCTTTTTCGTTTTGAACCCGTTGTTGAGTGACCGCAAAATGCCAGTCGATGTCACTGATGTCACGATGTCAAAATGCCAATCGATGTCGTCGTGGAATGCGGAGGAGACCCATGATCCACGACGAGAATGTGACAATTAAATCTTACAGCACCTTATTTCTCCACGTTTTCGGCTCTTTGACAAGAATAAATCACCCGTGTATTGACGTTGGTTCGACCACCCGTCTCCCGCATGGATGGGTAAAGTCCCGGCCTGGCACTGAGTTTCCACCAAATGTAGACCAATTTTTCCAGTTAGGATTAGAACAAAAACCAATAGAAACAAAACAACGAATTTGCAAAAGTTGGATATATACACCATTTTCTCTTCAATTTGACATTACTCTTTCTTAAAAGGAGTCAGAAAAACAAATGCCATTGACATCTTTGAAAAATTCAATTTCGGTAATTCCGGACCTTTTTCTTTAATAAGTTGACGTTTGGAATCACATATTTTGCCAATTGGCGGGATCAACGGAAATCCCATAACCAGAAGTAACTTCTGCAATTGTATCTCTTTTGTCTACTCTACTTCTGTGCCTTACGTCTTTTCTTGCCCCCCTTCATCACGTGGTGGGTCCGACTTGGTGGAGAGGAGTTGTGTAATTCTAGGGTGTGTAACCGAGGGTGGGAGTTTTATTGGAGGGTGTGTCTCGAGGAGAAGTCAGAAGGAAAGTAAGGAGAGGGCGGGAAGAAGCAAAGTAGTGGTGGTGGTGAAATTGCGTGGGAAAGTAAAGACTGTGCAACCAAGTCAGTGTGGAGATTTTCGGAATTTTCGAACTGTTTTCCGCCCAGAGTGAAGAAAAGGAAGAGATATACCTCAAGCCCATTTTGTCGTTATGTTTTATGTCTTCACGTTTCGGGAGTTTTGAGCAATATATTGTCGGGAGATTTGATGTTAATGATATTCGGTATACTAGATTGTCGGGCTCCGTACGTTCCTGTGTCTTAAATTCTTTAGAACTGCTGTATGCTCCCAGGAAAATTAAAGGGTTATTTTGTTAAATTGGATAGTTGTCTTTGTCTAGTCCCTATTGAGTGGATTTCCCCTGCTAAGCGTCTGCTCCATCGAGCACGCTTGTTCTAAATTCTCCCTTCGAAGAAATCACTTAAGTTCTACGTGTCGATTCGTTCTCACGTTTTATAATCTCACACTTCTTTACTTTCTTCCGTATCATTTTCTGGTTTCTCCTTTAGTTCTGTTACAGCAGTCGTCATTAATATTGGTGTACTAGTAGATTCGCCTTCTTCTTCCAATTATTTTTCGGCATTTAATGTTGTAGCTGTTGAAAAAGTCATAATTTTTTTATTGCATTCGACCATTTTTTCCCGTTTCTTTTGTTAATCTTCTTTTCTTATATTGCACTTCCAGATAATTTTTTTCTTTTTAACTCGCTCATTCTATAACAAAATTATTTTTACTCGAATACTAGAAATTCCTCAGTCAAGCATGACAGAATACTTTTAATGAGAAAGTAGAAATTGAAGAATCGAGAAGAGTAGCGTTTTCAAGAAATTCAAGAAGATTTGCTAATGTTTCTACAAATTAAGTAGTTTATACTATCTGTTGTAACATAGAAACAACAAAACAAAATTTTACCTGGAGAAGACAAAAATAGAAGTTATAAAGAATTCACTTGTGAAGCCCTGGACTGCGATGAAAAACATTCGTTTAACCATATATCCAAACGAAAACGAATCTTGATCTTCGCGATTAATTAAAATTAAGGGAACTAAATTAGAAAGGAAAAGAGAAAAATAAAATTATTTTAATATTAAAACTATGCAGTAAAAAAGGAGAAAAATTAGTAAATTAAATTATTTATAAGAAAAGATGAACAAAAAAGAAAATGTTAGTTAAGGTACAAGGTTCGTTCAACACCGAACGAAAGACGGTGTCAAATTGTATTAATAAACAATCGTCTTTATCGGAAACCGATCTGGTCTAATTTCACTTGGTAACAAAGAAAGACCAATCGGGGACCGATGAAGGTATTAATAACCAATAAAGTAACGATTTGCGAGACTACAAGATATTTAACTCGGTTCTTTGCCGTGGCGACCCGCGAGGCTATGTCCCTCGCTGGGGTGTTTCGATGAACGCAAGGTTCTGTCAAGGTTCAAGCGGTATGAACGCTTTATCTTCGTCCTTTGCCGATGTATCCTCCGAAAATTATAGATCTTCGTTGAGAGAAACTTCGGAAATTCCGATCTGCATTCACCGGACCACCGGAGTTTCCTGCTCGAGAAATGGTCTTAGAATATAACATCCGGTCAGCGGTAGGAAACCACCTTCGTCACTGGACTTTCCTCTTCTTCTTTCGAAGACTATGCGCCGAAATCTACAAAGGCTTCAATCCTTCGTGAAAATAGTACTTTTATTGTAAGTTCTAATAAACGGGTTGTGTTGTTTGTAAACGATGCCTCGAAACCTCGTTTACAAACAACACAATCCGCTTCACAATCCAATCTGACTCAACCGCTTCCAAATGTCGTTGATTGTTACCGCTCAGCAGTCCAGATGGCAATAGAGACGACAGTGGCGTGCCGTGACATTTGATGATAGAGAAGCTGTGTTTCTGTAAAAAGCCGACATCCAGGGGCAATCAGTCAATTGCGTGTCAGTGATGGTCTAGGACAGTGTTTCTCAACCTCTAACGAATCGTAGCCCACTTCAACGTAGTATTGCCCCCTTCAATAAAACCGTTACGTAGTATCGCCCCCTTCACTTCAAAATTCCCATGCCCAGGGCCAAGGCTAACGCCAAATTCGTATTGCATTGAATAGACTAGTGACTAATATAATGTTATTTGTTTAATTATTGTACGATATAACGAATAAAATGCCTAATTATTCTTAATATAATGTTTTACTATATCGCCCAGAAAATTGTTTTTCGCCCCCCAAAATATAAATTGTTACTAATCGCTCACTCAACATGGAAAGACGCCCACATGGGGGCGATATCGCCCCCGTTGAGAAACACTGGTCTAGGGTCATTCGTATTGTTTGTTTGATAAGACAGTAAAAACCGTAGACTTCTCTAAATGCATTTTTAATATCACAATTACATTCCGAATCGCTAACCACGATATAAGGGCTACAATTAAAAATAAAATTATAAAAGTTTACTTGGTGAAATAAAATGTGTGGTGGATATACATATCTGGTACAAAATATTCTTCAATTGTATTAATATACTTTTAAAGAAAATTATAATTAAATGTAGCTTTGTAAAGAAACGTACAGTACATAAAAATATAAAATATTCTTTACTTTTTAAATCTTAAAGCAATGCACTTAGTCAAATAGCTCCCTACGAGTGGCTAATGGATGGAATCGAAGACGGTTGCAGAGCGTGCATACACGCGAACTGCCAAATCCCCAGGATGCCGATATCGGTCAATGTCAAATACTGTACCTCTTTTGCCGCATCACTAGTTTATCTCAAAGGACGCGACAGGGCTGTTGTAGATTTTAAACGTTTCTCACCATAGCTGTAAAAATCTAAATATGTTAAACTTAATAGTCATTTGTTTTCTAACTAATTCGTTTTAGGACCAAGTGTCCTCAGAAATTTCCAAAATTTACAACTTTTCGGTCACTCTCGTC